ACTACTTTGCTTAAATCTCATATTTCTTGTTTAGATTGTCCTTAGCAACTCCACCCACGTATACCATGGACTTGGCATGAAAAACTTGCAATGTTATAAAGTTATTATAACCAAAACAAACTGTCAAGTGTATATACGTAGACTTCTAGTCTTAGGTTGGTTGGGTTTTGATTCAATTTTGGATATTTTGATGCATGTTTTAGACTTTAAAGTATGGGGAGGAGGGCCGAACCCATCAAAAGAGGTTTCAAGAAAAAAAAAAAAAAAAGCTTATGTGATATATACGATATTGCATGCCTTGTACATTATGTGTGTGGTATAATTAGTTGTAATGTAACCATTTTATAGGTTTGAAGGTTGAAAGAAAATGACCTACAACATGCAACAAAAAGGAAGAGAATGAAAAATGACCCATAACGATTAAGGTAGTTGACTGTTTACAATATTTAAATTTAGAACCATGATTGGCGCACTCTTTAACGTACCACACTACCATTACACACTCTTTTTTCCGTTAACTCTCACACTCCGTTAGTCTTCATCCTCACCAGATCTATCTTCCCCCTCACCTCCATTCTCATCCTCATCCTAATCATCTGTAGGACAATTGCCAGCCATCCTAAACCAAACACCCATTCGATGGGAGGAATCCCACCCGCAAGATTAGCTCTGATCATCTCCCTCGCTACCTCTCCAAAAACCCCTATGTTCAGAAGATTACCTAAGGCAAAAATCAATTCCCAATTCCAGCACCAGACCCCTTGTCCGAGCCACACTCCGTCATCGAGGAAAAACTCCAACAAGAATCAAAAGTCAATCTGGGTTCTATTGTAAAACCCAAATTGGGTTATGCAAGAACCCAGATCCAGATGCAGAACCCAAATCAGAGCGAGGAAGAGAAGGAAAAAGAGGGGGAGGAGAGGGAAAGAAAATCAAAGAACCAAGACTGGGTGAAGAGGAAAGTTGTGCTGGGTGAAAAGGAGTAACGAGAGAAACGGAGATAAACGAAGACGGATAAGTGTGTGACAGAAAGTGTGATAACCGAGTGTGCATATATCATTTTCTTTAGATTTATACAAACTGCCTTTGCATAAAAAAAAAAAAAAGAAAAAGAAAAAAAAAAAGACAAACGACTAGGGGCTATCAAAGTAATGGTGGTGATTTTTATTACTTTCTTCATTACTTTAGATGGAATAATAGTATTTATATATAATGTCTCTTATGATTATTTTAGTAGTTAAAATTTTAAATTTAAAAATTAAAAATTAAAAATTAAAATTTTAAAATAAATAAAATAAGAATAAAATAAAATAAATTGTTTTCTATTATATAATGTATGAAATGACCGTACTTAAAAAGACTAACATTTATATTTAATTAAGTTTCCTATGCCAACCAAAATGTACCAGGCCGACCACTGTTTTTTCCATAATTAATGGTGAGCGTGATGAACCCTGTTGTTATGGTGGACCATGGCCTGGTTACATGTATCAAAGGAGGAGACTCCTAATTGCCCTTCTCTTTTTTCTTTTCTTTTCTTTCTTTTTTTTTTTTTTTTTTTTTTTTTTTTGGAACTGCATAATTTCCCTTGTTATAATTATTCACTCTACCTGTGAAATCCTGGTAATTGAAGTTAG